ATAAGGGCGACTTCCTCGGTTACGTCGGTGAGCAATGGTCGTTCGAGGGCGTTGTTTCGAAGCGTCACGATCTCGTTGATGAGCACCCTGCATGCGGCAGCCCATACGCACTACAAATACCAGTCAGTAAGCTACTTTCGAGACAGCGTCGCTTCTGGCCTACGTACCCCGATGACTGAGTCTATGAAGACAAAGGTCTCAACTTGGGTGGTGACGGTTGCGTTCAGGATAGCGCGAGCAGCGTTCAAACAGCTTGCGCGAGAAACCGGCATCTGTTGCGCGAACATAGAATGAAGCTGTATCCTGCCAGCGTAAGCCAGACTGTGTGCAAGATAGAGTTGAGGAGCAGCTCCTTGTGAAAGAGCAGGAAGCTGAATCTCGAATTCGTTGAGCCGCTGATCCAAGATGAGGAACTCGGCGTAGTAAGCTGTGGAATTGGACAGATCTGGCCTTTCAGACAAGGTTGTGTAAACGTCAAAGAGCTAGCTAACTCACCGGGTCGCCAGGAAGCTGCCAGCTTGCTGCTTCGCTCGAACAATAGGCTCGCTCCACTGAGCTGAGAAAGTGTGCTGTCCCAAGGCCATACACTACCCGTCCCATCAAAAAAGCTGCGTAAAGTGCCATTAGAGCGTAGTGTAGGGGGCATCTGGCCCTGTCTTTCTTCGTCAGCTATTATTTGATCTTGAAGAGAACACGTCACTAACTTGCTGGTACAGAGTCATGTCCAAGGGCCATGGTGTATCAACCGGCATGTCTCCATTCTCTGCAGCTGTTATGAGAGGAGGCACACCCAGGACGACGGCATAGATACAGTCGAGCACAAGCGCAAACCAGAACGCTCGAATACGCTCCCCTTCTTCTACGGCATCCAGCGGCTCAGGTAGCACGATATTGATTGGGTCCAGATAAGATCCGTGCGACACTTGTATCAGAGTGCCGCGAATCTTGTGTAGTCCCACGTGGATAGAGAGAGCAGCGGCGGCATCAACGTGTGCACGGCTTTCGAGATAGCGGCCTATGTCCATGAGATGCACTGCGAGTAACACGTGGGCTTGGATGAGCTGGATGATATGCTGCGCGGATGCGTCTACCAATGCTTGACCGACTTCAGTCAGCGCTTGATCTCTATTATAGTTCAGTGAGCGTTCACGAGCGGGATGCACAAATCTAAACGAACAAGAGCTGTGGAGGAGAGGCACTTTGAGGTATGGTCTCCAGCGAAATGCTGGAATGGAGGATACTTCCCCAAAGGAGCATCACTGTGTTCAGTACCGTAACCGGATGTCCGATGTCCCCGTCGGGCAGTTCCAAAGCCTGACGCACGCGGCCGTCGTGGAGAAACCAAGGAAGTGCTGATGTGTTCTCGAAGAAGACGTTAATCCTGTGTAGTTTTTCAGTCTACAGTACTGGTATGAGTGAGTGACGTGCGAACGTACAATATCCCATATATGTTAGAAGAAATGAGCGCGCGAGGTGAATGAGGCGGAGACACTGATTATCTGTATGTCAGGACAGCTCCGATGTAGACCATAGGGACCGTACCAAACGAGGAAGTAGAGGGTGATGCATGTGGCGGGTGAAGATAAACCGAAGAGGGGCTGGCGCCAGGACCTTCGTGTTCAAGTTCCTTGATACGAGCCTCCAAAGCCTGGATTGACTCTTCTAGAACTTGAACACGGGAGCGAGTTACGCCTTCAAAGTGGCATTCTTGAGGCCGCCGTGCTCGAGTGCACTGCCCGCAAACAGGTCGAGTACCGTCGCACTTGATCTTACGCTGCCTATAACATTGTGTGAGCACCATATGATTGTAGAGAGTGCACGAGTTGGAGACATACCTGCAAGCTACGCAAGCCTGACCTCTCGATAACGACCTCGATGGGCTCGCGGAGCGAGACTCAAACTGTACTGCGTGCATGTCGGCGAATGTAGGTGCTGGTTATCACTGGCTAAACATCTGTCTAAATCGCCTGTCCTTATGTACCTCCAGTGCTTCAGTGGCGAAGCAGATTCTGGCTGCGCATACGCCGGATATTTGCCCCGAGGTGAGCGTATTGCTGAGGTAGCGGATAACTTTCCGGCACTGGGCGGTGTAGTTCATTTCTCGGCGGCTCCCCGAGACAACGCCGTCGGTTTATCTCAGAGAATACAACTGCTAGACTTCGGAAATCCGATCATGTTGCAAGAGTACTGCACGAAGGCCTAAATTGGCAAAGGCGCTCGCAGCCTTGCGCATAAGTCGCTAAACTGCGTTCCGGTTGAGGCGATTACCGATACATCACCGAACCTGGTCACAGAATTCGTAGAGCCTCCATTCTTGCTCTGTTGGAGACACTTTAGCTGTCCGGAAAGACATGAAAAGCAGAGCAGTGCTGGCTTTGATCATGATGTTACACCGCAGTGGCTCGGGGTGCTCTCGGTAACGCTCGGGCAAGACTCCAAAACTTTTCAGTCCAAGAGTCACGAGCTTGTGTACATAGCAGTTATTCAAAACGGCGGTGATGCTCTGGGGAGTCAATGTAGAGGGTGCGGTTTTGGTGGTGGTGGCTGCAGCTGGCAACTTGTCGCGCGGGCGCCAAATTGAAATTGCGCGCCTTTGGATCCCACCACCATCAGCACCGCACCATCGAGCCTTTAGGCGCCTCGCCGACCAAGCGCATCGTATCCGGACAAAGGCTTCGTCTCTCGCACGTCTGGTCGTTACTTCTGTCTTCGATCCCTTCTAAGCCAGTGAAGATCCTGCGGTGACCTTAGCGTGCTTCACGACCGGCGTCCGCCAATCCCTCCCGAAATTCTGCAAGACTCGACTCTCGCCGGCTTGATCACTACTTCAATCGGAAGGGCGCGTCTTATATAGATGTCAGAACCATTACTCCGTGCGGCGAGCGAGCCTTCTTCCCAGTTATTCCTTGATGGTGGCGACAGTAACGAAGTCTTCCAACTCGACACGAACGCTCTGCGTGTGGCTACCCGCGTCATCACGACTGCAGAACTCTTGGATCTAGTACTGTCGTTCTTAGAGCGCTTCGACCTTATAAAAACTGCGCCAGTGTCCCAGTTCTGGCTCGAAATATCTCGCGGACATATCTGGCGCATTGTCGAGAACGCTTGGGAGCTATTCGGGCTTCTGGCGCCTCTCCGACCGAGTCGAGGCAATCATGGCCATGTATGTTGTAATTCAAGTTTCCATATACTCGTGCTAACCGAACGTGCTATTTGTAGGAGTTTGAACGTATACCGAGTTACGAAGACTGGCTTCGTTTCCAGCCGTTCGCGTCACGCGTGCGCAGATTACGCATAGAAGGCCCCTACGACGACGAAGACTGCTCCAAGGTCGTGACGGCTCTTTTATCCAAAATTTGCCTGTACTCGGCTTTGGCATCCAGTTTGCCCAAACTTACGTGAACTGGAGTGGTATCAAGATGACAATCTGGCGCAGCTCTCGCTATTCCTCCACCCAGGATTGGAAGAGTTGATCATGTACGTGCCTCCGAATGATCTGGCGGGTTATCCTGTCGAAACAATTTGTGCGGATATAGCTTTCAAAGCGCCGTATATCCGCCATCTTGAGCTAGTCCCGTACGGTTGCGTTACGTCGCTACCGATTGAGATGGCACTCGCCAACCTTCTCTTGCGCCTCGAAAGCCGCCTGACGTCGCTGTACCTTCCTGTGTATGGGCTCACTCAGACACTTTTTGAGGCGGCAAGCCACTTACAGCACGTAGAAGATATCGCGTTCGCAACGACAGTGGCGCCAATGGTCGTTGCGTTGTATCATGATGTACTTGTCTTCACGCCGCATCTGGAGCGCAACTCGTTCCCCGCCTTACGAAAGCTGTCTCTGTGCGCATCGTTAGCGGACCTCAAGGAGATAGTGTCGAATCACAACTTCCCGGCCAATAGGCTCTCGGACTTCTTAGTACGCGCGGTACGGCCTGAGACGCCAGCAGCCGTCGAGACATTCCACGCGACTGTTGCACGTGAATGCAGGTCACTGACCACGTACTCTCTCGTCCTCACCGCCCCATACGATGAGAAGGGAGACAATGAACGCTGGCCCGAGTCGCCTGGACCTGATACAATCCTGGGCTGGACCGCCTTCGCGCCCCTTGCAGACGGCGTTTTGCGGAGCCTTGTCAGTATCGCTGTCGCACATGAGCACGCCTTCAAGCTCACCATCCATGAGCTCGCGGACCTTGCGCGCAGCTTACCGAATCTCGAGTATTTCGTCTGCAACCCATCCCCACATGTGGCTGGCGGCAATCCGCCAACCATCAAACTCCTGGAAATCAATATCTTGCCCGATTGCATGCCTAACGTCGAGACGCTGGAACTATATGTCGACGCTTCGGACGCCACCGTCGACTATCCGCGCTGGAGCGAGAAGTACTTTCCGCGTTTGCGAAGCCTTTGGATGGGCGCCTCCCCAGTGAACTCGGCACGACGGATGGGCATCTCATTCTTCCTTGCAGGCCTTTTGGCGACCGGTGCACGGATCGACACTGAGCGATGGGAGATATGGGATTATGCCGCGCCAGAGTCGCGATACGTGTCCGATTGGGATAGAATTGCTGAGGATGTTGCGCTCTTGATGGAAGCGAGAGCTGGGGTGGAAAGGACCCCGCTGTACCCGGCGCCATAAGCTATACATACAGTATGCTTCATCTTCACGTGTTGGCTTGTATATCGGGTGTTCTGTACGACATACCAGACTCGTTCTTTGCGTCCATATATGATATTATATCAGTCTGAATACTGGATCATTGTTTGGGAGACACATCGAGCTGAACTTTTCAAGCTGCAAGGTCGCGACAAAGCAAAGCGAAGTATCTCAGGTGTACCATAGGCGCCGTGTAACCGCGCGCCTCAAAGGGCCAATTCTCGCAGTTCGCATCCGCAAGGTCAAATCGGCTTCTAAAAAGTCCGTACAAATAGTAGAAAGCCCGCAAAAAATCGTAGCGACGTTCTGAAAGCAGCTACGAGCTCGTAGAACACTGCAAAAAGGGCCTAACCGGGAATTGAACCCGGGACCTCCTCCAAATGGCGTATACAAGCTATACTTGGTAACCCTAAGAAGGAATCATACTACTAGACCATCAGGCCGATGGAAGCTGATCTCGTTGATTGTTTATAAGTTCTCAGGTTCCACGGCTGACAGTGACACGTTCACGTCGACTCACCATTTAGGTCTTCTCTTCCTTCGCATACAACTGTGTATACAGCCTCCAACGAGTCGCAGAGGTCAGACTCACGTAGACCCATCCCCGATTCTGTGGGTATACTTGTCTAGCGGCCAGCTGGTAGGGCTTGCTTTGGGCTTGCTGCTGACATGATCCCGAGAATAGCAAACTCAGGCTGCCATCCGAGTCGTTAACAACGAGAACAACTTCTCTCAGACCTATTTAAACATTGTACTAGACACGCGTGCACTACTAACAGTCGTATAGAAGAAAGACAATGCTTGTTAGGCCTCAGCACTTAGCACCCCTCGACGCAATGCTCAAAGTCACCCTTGCACTGCCAGACCGGCATCCCACTCGTCCTGCACCGGTGCTCCGTCGCATGGCAGTCTGCAACCAAGAAAGAACACCGTGAGAATCATAGTATGTGGCTACCACAGCTTTAGAAAGATACTCACTCTCCTTGCACGACTTATTCGCGTACATCTCAAGCACAAGCTGACTCGGTGGCGCGCTGCAGCTTTCATAGCACTTCTGGAGGTCACCCTCGCATTGCCAAGCCGGCATACCGCTCTGCTTGCAGCGATGCTCGGTGGCGTGGCACTCTGTAACCATGAACATTCGTAAGCGCACTATCCTCGAACGAGAATGGGAGAGAAAAAAACGCACTGTCACGGCACGACCCGTCCACACACGCCTCGGCGTTCTCGACGCTATAGGCGCCGCCGACGAAAGAGCCGAAGTTCTTGCCCTGCTCGCACTTATCCTTGCACGTTATGAACTTGTTGCGGCATTCATTCTCATCGGTACCCGCATCGCGGCATTTGTGCGACTCGTCTACGCATTCTGCACAGGGAGAGGTGAATGACTGGACAAAGCCGGGAGGGTAGGGAGCTACTCACTCTCGACGCATTTGTCTTCCGTGGAGAAGCTCGAGAGAGTGAATGCGTCGGAGTCAAGGCACTCGTGGGCGCACTGTCCGCGCACGACGTCGCAGATCTTACGCGGGAGCCCTCGAGAACGACACTGCTTGCCCGCGTCTACGCAGACTAAGCGCGCCAGATCAGCTGCGGTTTTGACGGGACAGACCGATAGACGTACATTCGCGGCAGTCTGCGCTCTGTGAGCCGACATTGATGTCCAGGGAATGGGCATCGGTATCGATGATAATGACGCTAGCGGAGGCGAGGGCGATCGCTGCGAGAACGGAAAAGAAGGAAGTCTTCATAGTCGCGACTGGGGAGGAAGTCAAGGTTGATGCGAAAGACCTTGGGTAGAGCAAGAGATATATAGCAGCACTGCTCGGGCGCAGGTATGCCCTGGAGCAGATGTCAGGAGCAGACTCGGTCGAGGACCGACGAGCGACTCAACTTTAGCTGGAGATGAAGTTCTGCTGCCTCTCCGGAAGAGCGCGTCAGAGATGAGAGCTCGGGTTCACATCATTCTCGGTTCCCCGTCGTACAGAACAGGCTGTTGGCTTTAGAGGCGTGATTATTGGCTACTTTCAATTGACGGGAGCGAACTGCCAACGCAGAACGAGTTATACAAGCATATCCACGTACGTACACCGCTCTCGGGCTCGGCGTACAGATTACGCACGTGGAATTGGCTGGATGCGCCAATGCGAATCTAGCTCTGGCGCTGCACTGAGTACGTTCAAGTCAGAACTCGCACTGAGTATCGTCATGTCAGTGCAGAGTCAGAAGACAAGTCAAAGCCCTGAATTAATACACATGGCCGTCAAGTGCTAGCTGTCTTCCGTAGGCGCTACGGTCTGCCCCGGTTACTGTCAACTGCAGCAATGACCGGGTAATATCGCTCCTTGATGGCGCCGATGCAGTCGTAGTCGTGAGTGACTCCGTTCAAACTTCCGCCGTGGAGTGTACACGAAAGGGCTGGTGCGTATATTGAGTACACCGAGTAGGCGAGGATGGTGGTCTCTGCAGAAGATCTGTGTGACGTCTTTGGTTATATTCGGAACTGTCGGCCCGTTCACGTGTGATCGGCAAACTCCCGTGTACTCTTCTCGCGCGGAGGTGCGCGCGCCGCGACTTGTCTCCTGCTTCCAGCTTCGACCTCTGTCAACGATGTCCGCAGCGAAAAAGGCTAACAACAAGGCTGCCGCCACGACCACCTACGCCTTCCGGGACATTGTCCTCGGCAAAGTGCGCGGATACCAGCCCTGGCCCGGCATGGTGCGTTCGAACCCTTCCCAAGTAACGTTACAGAACGCGTTGTATTCTGAATTTATGACTGTAGGTTGTTGACCCGGATACCGTGTCGCCTGCTGTGGCGAACGAGCGTCCGGCCAAGGGTGGCAAGGCTTCGCACTACTGCGTCAAGTTCTTCCCCAAGGGCGACCAGTCCGTGTTCCCCTTCGCCTCTCTGCCTCGCGTCCATACTGACTCTTCAAACTCTCATAGCGCGTGGCTTCCGCCCAGCTCGCTCTCTCGCCTTCAACCGCACGAGATTCAGGCGTTCATTGAAGAGCCGCCAAAGGGTCAGGCGAACAAGAAGGACCTTCTCGAGGGCTACAAGGTCGCCCGTGACCCTACCGAATGGGAAGCTAAAGTCGCCGCTGCGGAAGCCGAACTCGCAGAGGAGCTGGCAGACGCAGACGTGGACGAGCTCGACGGCGTTTCCGAGGAAAGCGCGGACAGCAAGCCTGCCAAGAAGCGTAAGCGCGCGAGCGAGGGCGGTGGACGCGCGAAGAAGGTGGTAGAGCGTAGTGCCGCTGAGAGCGGGAGTGCTCCGCCGAAGAAGCGTGCGCCTCGCAAGAGTAACGGCAAGAAGAGCAAGGATACGATCGAGAGCGAGGACGATGCCGAACGGGCGGATGCGGATGGTGAGGTTGACGATGCTGGCCCTAGTAAAGCCCAGAACTCGCCTCCGCCACCGAAGAAGGCCAAGCATAACAAAGACGATGGACGTGCGTACTTTCCTCCACCCTGGCTCGTCTCCCTGGTCGCTTTCTGCTTCGCTGGCGTCAAAACGGCGCTCGTACGATTTTCTTTCTCGCTCTTTGAACCCAGAGCTTCACTCATGGAGCTGTGGCGAGCCTGGCCTCGACATCGAGAGGTCTTTGCGCGCCGTTTGAACCCTTCTGCTCGCAAATAGGGCCATGGAGCGTCGAGATATGGCCAGATAGGCCTTTTGCGCTATCAATCGAGCGGTCCCAGTGCCCTTATGCCCTGTATTCGACTGTCAGGGAGCCACTTCGTTGCCAACGACGACTATCGCCAGCTTTCACCCTGATATCTCCCAAAATCCTCAATTTTCCGCCTTCGAGCGCCTACCTGACTCGTTCTGCGACCTTCTACGCTTCTCTATCGTCCTTGAACTTCTTTGTTACGTCCAACATCGAAAGCTTGCTCATATATATTATCTTTACAGCCTTGGCGGATGACAAGGAGGCGCAGAAGGTCAAGACGTGGCGGCATACGCTCCAGAAGACGTTCCTCACAGGCAACAGCGGTGCCAAAGCTGAGGTACGTACCGCTCGCATTCAATGTGTAGGAAAAACGGATATTAATGGAATATTCCGCAGGATATTCCAGGCAGCGACCAGCTTTTCACTGAGATTGAGCAGTATGACGGCATGACCGTCGCTTACCTCAGCGTACGTATCTCCACTCGTGTTCAGCGAGGTAAACGCGCTGACGAACAATGAGCAGTACTCGAAGATAGGCAAAGTGATGCGCCACATCCATCTGCTGGACGAACACAAGATCCCGGACGAAGCGACGTACGGTTTCCGGAAGCGCGCCAAGGCCTTGGTGGATAAGTGGCAGACGCAGCTGCATGCATCTGCGGCCAGTCCTACGGTAGAGAAGAGCAAGGAGGAAGGGTCGCCGGAGAAGGAGGAGGTGAAGGAGAATGGTGAGGCGAAGGAGGAGAGCCCTGAGAAGGATGGGGATGCGAAGATGGAGGACGCTGCGCCTGCTGGGGATGCGCCCGCTGAACCCGTTGTGGCGGTTGAGGGCGATGTGTCGATGGCTGAGGCTTGAGCGGCGTTGAACGCGTAAGTATCTCTCTCGCGTTGAATATTTCGTAAGTGTTTACTGACGGACATTATCATCTCTAGACCTCAACATCTCCCGACAAACCGTACTCGAACTCCGAGCTCGAGCTCCACAAATATACGCAATCGAAAGTCGTATCGAAACTCCCTACCGTGCTACCCGAACCCGCCACCCTCATGCTTGCTACTACTCCGCCCCAAACGCGCGATTTTCTTGACTCTCTTATCGTATTTCGTATCCTTGCGTTTTCCTCCTCTCTCCTGTACGCCTTGCTTGCCCTGTGCTTCTCTATAAACTTGTCTATAGCTGCGCAATTCAATAACGATGTTGTTGATTGAAGCCGACGCGAGGCACGGGTCGGACTGAGGCTCGAGCTCGGAAGAAGAACGAGCGAGTGGCACACGCTATGAACTCATCTCGAGTCATTCTGTGCATGCCAGAGAGAGCAGTAACGGTAGAATGTCGAGCCCTGAGATCGCCCGAAATAGTACAAAGCCAACGTCTACACGTGCTAGCAAAGATTGCGTCAGAATGCAGAACTCGCTTTTCACGCTTTGCCTCGTGTTACCACGGTACCCCGCGCGGACACAAGCGCGTCGGAGCCACTCTCAGCTTTCTTTCCAGCTTCCGAGCCGCCATGTCGTCCATGTTTGCGTCCATTCTCTGCTGTTGCGGTTCGCGAGAGCATGCTTCCGTACGTACTCTGATATAAATGGTCAGATATGGGATGGTGAAAGCTAAATTGGAGAACAGGAAGAGCCGGATGAGAATACGCGGCTTATCGCGCCTGTCGACGAGCCTATGTGCGGCATCTGTGTTTTTTGCTACGGTATAGATGCTGATTGTAGGACATGTAGACCCCAACCGCGACATGCGGTCGACAGCGAGCGGATGAAGGAGC